GCGTGGCCTGAGCCCACGCACCGGGCGGCCGGCGCTGCCAGCCAATCAGCGGCCGGCGGCATAAGCTGATATGACGGCAAATCGCGCGACTTGGCTGCGCGGGGTTCTCAGCGGTCACGTGGGCGGCGCGCTTTCGGACACGCCCCCTGGGCTCAGTCACGCCCCCTGGGCGCAGTCCACCGACTGCAGGAAGCCGGGAACCTGATCCAGGTACCCGGGCGGCGGAGGGCGGAGTTCCACCTTCTGTTTTCGTTGGGTTTGCTTTTTCACGGGCGCTGACGTGTGTAGTTCCGAGTCCTCTCCCAAGCAGGTTTACGTTATTTATGCAAACAATCCTAAAAATGATGCTCTGACATTTCTGTAGTTTGAAGTGAACGTGGGAGGCATTTTTTTAACTTAAAAAAAATTGAAGTATAGTTGGTTTACAACGTTGTACTAGTTTCTGATGTACAGCATAGTGATTCAATTATACATGTACATATAGATATATGTGTATATTCTTTTTCATATTCTTTTTCATTACAGGTTACCACAAGCCACTGAATATAGTTCCCTGTGCTACGCCCTAAGACCTTGCTGTTTATCAGGAGGTAATTTCTTACTCAAGAGGAGGCCCAGATATCTGGCAGACAATTTGCTAATACGTGTTTCTCAACTTGGAACTTGACCTTTTCTAAGGAATTGGTTGGCTGAAACAGTTTAGGTAGGCGTTGAAATGACACAAAAGCTTTATAATACAGGTGAAACAAGTGTATGCGGACTCATTGGACATGTCTGTAGCCTTTGCCTTCGTGTGGGTGTGTGTAGCTTTTATTTTTGTAGTTGTAAGCTTTTCTGAACGTGAACTGCAATGGTCATACTTGTAAATAGACCTTCTTGGAAGCCTCAATATAGTGCTTCTCGAAGTCTAACCAACAATGCCCAACCAACTGGGAGTTTCCTGGAAATACAAATTTGGGGGTGCCACCCAAGGCCTGCTAGATCAGAAACACGGGGAGGCCCCAAGAAGCTGGGTTTAACAAACTCTGCAATGAGCTAATGTTTGATAAAGTTTGAGAACCAGTGCTCTAGTGAATTTGACCATTAGAAGGAAATCCAACTAGTCCTTCATTTTTGCTCCCTCAAGAGTGATAAACAGAAGGAAATACTGGAAAGTGAGAGAAGACTAACCTTAAGAAAGAACGTTTCTGTTTTCTTACAGGACCATCAGAAGTGCTGCAGCGTAGGGGAGTGTTAGACTCCAATCATGAAAACCTTTTATATGATTGTTTTGAATATCTGTGGCTTGCCAACTACTTTCTTTCTTTTAAAAAATTAACATATAGTATTAGTTTCAGATATAAAACATAATGGCTTGATACTTGTATACATTGTGAAATGGCTTCCTGCTTTCTAGATCACATTTTTTCACCTTTGTTTCCTTTGCTATTGTTCTCATTTCATCCTTTGATCCTTTTTTTTTAGATTAAGATTTTTACCTTAATTTCTGGGAAAAAATTAAAATGTGGTTTTCCAAATGTGTGATTGCTGTAGGATAAAGCTTGCTGGTGTGATTTGTTTAGTCCACAGATATATTTATTCCCTTTGAAGTAATTAATTTCATATTAAAAATAACAGACTTCTCTTGAAGGATTGGGAAATCTGACGTAGAAATGGTAAAGTAAACTTTAAATATAATATCGTGAATAGCTAGACTTTTGTCATCGAGTGTGTATTAGCAGTGTTTTATTCTCGGGACTTAAAGGTTCCCAAGGTTTGAAATTGTGCAGTCTGCTCTTGGCAACCCCAAGTAGTAATAAATTAACCCAAGAGAACAGTCTTTTTTTAAAAAAATTATTATTATTATTATTATTTGCAGGGGGGAGGTAATTAGATTTTTTTGGTTTTTCAGTGGAGGTACTGGGGATTGAACCCAGGACCTCATGCATGCTAAACATGCGCTCTACCACTTGAACTATACCCTCCCCTGAGAACAGTCTTTTAAAAATTTTTTTAAATATGTTAATAGAGCATCCTAGGATGCAGCTTTTCCATGTGCTTTCTCTGTCCAGAAACAATGTTCAGGATAGATTATTTATTCATTATTTGCAAAGTTCTGTACCAACCAGCCAGTGCCAAGGAATTCAGAGATAAGCTACAATCCCTGCCTGCGTTTCTGTTTGGGACGTAAGGATATAAAGAAACCATTCAGTCATTTAATAAATAGGTATGGAAAGGCTGGTAAGTGCCAGACACTATTTTATGCACGTGAGATGTATTGGTGATTGAGAGAAATAACGTCCCTGCCCTCATGAAGCTTATGTACTGGTGAGGAGACAGAAAACAACTAATAAATAAATAGTCGGGAGAGATATTACAGTGTCAGGCCGTGATAAATGCTATGAAGTAAACAAAACAAAAGAGTAAAGGGACCAAAAGTGATAAGGACTGATCTTAGACAGCGTGGTCAGAGCCAGCATCTCTGAGGGTGGGACATTTGACCTGAGTGGCGTTAGGGGCCTCATTCACTTGGAAGATTCTCAGCTGAAATTTAGAGTCTGGACGTTGATAAACTAGGGGGGCCACTGGCTCACAAACATCTATTTGCATGGGTTTATTTTTTAGGGGAAAAGGAGTATTCAAAAAAAAAGAAAAAAGGTGGGGGCACAAGAGTCCAAAGCAGACCATAGGAAGACAAAGTGTTGTTCCTCAACCTGGCCCCATGGTTAGATCTTAGTTAACTTTCAGTACGTATGTCAGAGATCCCTCGGAAATTTAGATGACAGCTGTGGTCTCTGACCCCAGAGAAGTACACCCGTGAGCACAGTAGAAGCGGCTCTTCTAATCACTCTCCACTTAACTCACGTTCTCAGTCTCCTTTCTAATATTCCAGCTAATCCCCGGGAAGCACCAAGACTTATGGCTGGCGGCCTTCACTTTATCTCTCCTTCACTTTATCTCTGCATCTCTGCTTCTACCAGCTTTGTAATGCTAACCAAAGGTCATTGTGTTTGTTCCCAGGGTATTTATTTCCCTTATACTCCTCGTAATTACGTAAGTAAATTACGTACATTGATAGAATTTGAGTCTGCAAAGAAAAAGACTTGTTGTTTTTATGAAAACCAAGAAGAATGCTTTGGAAAGACCAGATAAAGATAGGTGCTAATAAAAATACCTGTTGAATTGCGTGTAGGTCAGGTGGTTACAAAAGACTAGAGAAATATTTTTAGCATATGTGCATTTTATTGTATATTCATTTCTGTCTCAACTTTAGAAACATCTTCACATTATCCAGGCATGTTTAAATTTTACAGCATAGCAATACAATAAGGGTACAGTTAAGTGGTAGTAAGTACATTTGATTTTTGTGCAATCATCATCCATTTCCAGAACCCTTTTCATCTTGAAAAACTGAAACTCTACACCTATTAAACAGTAACTTCCCATTCCCTCTTTCTCCCAGTGTCTGGCACCACCATGTGACCTTCTGTCTCTGTGACCTCAGCAGTACTAAGTACCTCTATAAGTGGAATCATACAGTATTTGTCTTTCTGTGACTGGCTTTTTGCACTTAGCCTTAATGTTCTCAAGGTTCATCCATGTTGAAGTATGTGTCAGAATTTCCTTCCTTTTTAAGGCTGAATGATACCCCATTGTCTGTGCAGACCACATTTTGTTTATTCATTCATTTGTTGATGGACACGTGGGATGCTTCCTATTGTAACTAATGCTTATATGAATGTGGGTGGGCACAGATCTGTTCAAGTCCCTGCTTTCAGTTCTTTCGGGTGTATACCCAGAAGTAGAATTGCTTGATCATATGATAATTCCGTGTTTAATTATTTGAGGAATTACCATCCTGTTTTCCACAGTGGCTGCATCATTGTACATTCTTACCACCAATGCACAAGGGTTCCACTTTCTCCACATCCTTGCCAACATTTGCTGTTTTCTAGATTTGTTGTTGTTAGCAGCCATCCTAATGGATATGAGGTGGCACCTCATTGCAGTTTTGGTGTGCATCTTTTCATGTGCTTATTGACCATTTGTATATTTGGATAAATGTCTATTCAAGCCTTTTTTATGGATAATTTTTTTATTGAAGTATAATTGACATACAACCTTTCATTAGTTCCAGGTGCACAACATAGTGATTCGATATTTCTACACATTACAAAATGATCACCATGACAAGTCTCGTTCATCTGTCACCATGCAAAGTAATTGTACCATCACTGACTGTATTCCCATTGCTGTCCATTTCGTCTCTGTGACTCACTTTGCAACTGAGAATTTGTACCTCTTAATCTTCCTCACCTATTTCATTCACCCATCCCACTCCACTCCCCTCTGGCAACCATCTGTTTGTTCTCTGTATCTGTGGGTCTGCTGGTTTGTTCATTTGTATTGTTAGATTACACATGTAAGTGGAATCATACAGGTTTTGTCTTCCTCTGACTTATTGCACTTAGCATAACACCTTCCAGGTCCACCTGTACTGTTGCAAGTGGAAAGGTTTCATTCTTTTATATGGTTGAGTAATATTATATATATATGACATGTATATATAATATATATATATATATATTTATCCATTTATCTCTCAAGAGACATGTCGCTTCTAGGCTATTGTAAACAATGCTGCAGTGAACATAGGGGTGCATATATCTTTTTGAGTTAGTGTTTTTGTTTTCTTCTGAAAAATACCTAGAAGTGGAGTTGCTGGGTGATATGATAGCTCTATTTTTAATTTTTTGAGGCACCTCCATGCTGTGTTCGATAGTGGCTGCACCAATTTACATTCCCACCAACAGGTTGC